CGGGGGGGGCAGCAGCATCTCACCCGTCTGAACTCCTCAGGCTCGTCCTCCTGCAGGGAGCTGGTGGGGGAGGGCGTGGTGGAGAGCCGCTCCTCGGGCGACTGGGCAGCGGGCGGCAGGATGGAGCTGCCCCCCAGGCTCAGGCCCAGCTGGGAGCTCAGCTCGGACTGGTCGATGGTGGTCAGCTGGCCGTGCCCCATCAGTGCCCCAGGGCTCATGGGCACGTCTATCGTGACGGGCGGGTTGGTGCTGTACTGGGTGCCCATGGAGTGATCCAGGTCCTGGAGAGGCAGACACAAAGCTGGGGGGCTGGCGCTGGGGGGCACTGTCCGTCCCCAGAGGAGGCTCCCCACCTCCCCCCGGCAGCACCAGCCTCCTGCAATACCCCAGCCTGCTGCTAGAGGGCAGCAGCCCTGGTCCTCCTGGCACGTACATCCTCAGCCAGCCACTAGGGGGCCCAGGCTCCACCCACCCCACAGCCAGGCACTACAGGGCAACGCCTTGCGAGGCAACCCGCCCTCCCCTGCCCAGCCCTGGCCCCAGCCCCTCACCATGGCCAGCCCCCCCGCCAGGAGCCCGCCGCCCTGCTCCATGAGGCCATGGTTCATGCCCACGGGCATGTCGAGGGCCTGCACGCCATACTGGGTGGAGAAGCCGGCGTCGGGCGCGCTGCTGGGGTCCCCCAGGTCATCGAAGTGCCCCACCACGTCTGAGACAGCCAGCGAGGGGTCGGCGTCCAGGGAGATGGGCGGGATCTCAAACTCCTCATCCCCCAGGCTGGGGGTGTGAAATGTCTGCAGAGAGGTCGGAGACTTGAACTCGGTGCCCTGGTGCCCCCTTCCCCTGGCCAAGGCCCAGCCCCATCTCCCTGGTGTCCCCCTGCCCCCTCCCATGGCCAGGGCCCAGCCCCATGACCCTGGTGCCCCCCTGCCCCCTCCCTTGGCCAGGGGCCAGCCCCCATCTCCCTGGTGCCCCCCCACTACCCCTCCCCTGGCCAGCTCCATCACCCTGGTGCCCCCCTTCCCCCAGCCCTGGCCAGGGCCCAGCCCCCATCTCCCTGGTGCCCCATAGTGATCCAAAGGTTCTGTGCCATGCCTCATCTTTTAAACCGTCCCTAGGAGGAACCCCTTCAGTGAACCAGACCCCCAGGGGGTCCCACTCTTCCTTCAGAGTCGGCCACATGGCTCCAAGACCGAGCCTCTGGGCTCCAGCCCTCCTGCTTCACACCAGGAAGTCCCCACTGGGGCAGCAACGTTTTCCCTCACAGCTCCCTCTCACAATAACCCTCTTGGTTT